ATGTTTGTTTTCAAAGCATTCGGTGGAGGAGGGAAGAAGTTCCGAAAAAACATCTTTTTTTTTCTTTTTCCACGAAAAGCCCTTCTGCGAGGCCTTGGTGGCATGACCACACAAGGACTTTCTCAACTGAGCTCTGGACGTAGTTGCAGTCAAATGCATCCCAGCCGGGCCGTAATTGCAGTCAGATACATCCAGGAAAGTCCTGGTGTGAGTATGCCCTTATAATGTGGAGGCTCAATTGTGAGCTCTGGATGTAATTGCAGTCAAATGCATTCCAGCCAGGCCGTAATTGCAGTCAGATACATCGAGGAAAGTCCTAGTGCGAGTATGCCCTTATAATGTGGGGCTCAATTGCATTTCAGTCCTTGTAGCATACGGAACATCATACACATGTCTACAAGCCCTCAACTGAGGGTTGGGCGCTAATGGTGTGTTACTTTTGTGCAAGGAAAGCATGAACCTGGCCAGAAAAATAGCCAGGTCCATGCAGCACAACAGCACAGATATCCATAGCAGATAGCACCAGTGGGGTCTGGCAATAAAGAAACGCGCAACCATCTCAATTGCCGAAACTCTGGAAACCTCCACAGGGTGAAAAACAAGAAACCTGAAAACATGTCTTGATGCTCATGTGCATCCTCACTCCCTCACCCCACCAAAGAAGGGGAAAAAAAAGGAAAAAAGAGGAAAGCCGACAAGGAAACAAAACAAAGATAAAACAGAGGGTCCCCCTTCAGACAGAGACTGCGAAAACAACGAAAAACTTGAACTCTGACGACTCGGAGGCAAGAGTTCCGCGGCCAGCAGGATTTGAACCTGCGCGGGCAGAGCCCATCAGATTTCGAGTCTGACCCGTTAACCACTCCGGCATAGCCGCTTGGGCATGCCCAAGCATTTCCATTCAATTTATATATTAAGACCTACACATTTACTCCTGCAACTAAAAACACACGCAAAAAGAAAACCAAACGCTTACCATGGGACCGCATCGCATGATCGATCTTCTCAATGTGCGTGGCGTGGAGACATGGACAAAAAGTTAACACCTTTTTTCTGACCTTCTTTAGACGTGACTTCCAGGTGTTCATCACTCTCAAATTGAAAATAATAATAATAATAAAACAGTTTTCAGCCTGTGCGGGGAAGTAAAACACAACTGGGTTGAAGCCATCTCCCAAAACAAATTCGTCCAAGCGATCTGGTTTGCAGTAATGTCCAAAGGTCACTTTTGGGACCTAGCAACTGGTCCAAAGGCCACTTTTGGGACCTGGTAAGTGCTCCAAAGGTCACTTTTGGCCCTTTTGGGACCTGGTAAGTGGTCCAAAGGCCATCTTTGGGACCTAGTAATTGGTCCAGACTCCGAAGGCCACTTTCGGGACCCAGTACTACTACTACAACTACTACTACTACTAGTAGTAGTAGTACTACTGATGGTAGTCACTGTGGGGGCCAATAATAATTGCCAAAAAAAAAAAAAAAAAAGAGGCAAACCCTGCAAATTTCAAATGCGGTGCTCCCCTATAGATAAGGGATGTTAAACGCCCTGAGGTATCTAAGCGGCTATGCCGGAGTGGTTAACGGGTCAGACTCGAAATCTGATGGGCTCTGCCCGCGCAGGTTCAAATCCTGCTGGCCGCGAGACTCTGTTTCTTGAAATCCGAATCCGAACTTATATGTATTATGAACCAAACTGGAAAGGGTTTTTCTAGACCAGGGCCGTAAATCTCCCCAAGGGCCCCTCAACATTGGAACTCCGCACGCTACCTTCTTCCCCCGAATGCAACACTCTGTTGGCATCAACATACAGAAGCTGTCTGTAGACTCTGTATACATCAGCTGTCGTATAAACTCAGAACTAAAGACAAGGGCATTGCTTTCTCTGGGCGGGGGGGGGGAGAGGGTAGAGGAGAAGTAGGGCTTCCACCAACCACCAGACCTTCATGGGATGGATATTAATACTCATGGACTCATCGAGGGCATTTTTGAGGGGTTGTTCATATCCTTTTCTTTTTTCTTTTCTTTTTTTGGTGGGGGAGGAAAGGAAAAGGGGGGGGGAGGGGGGTGAGTATTCAACAGGGCTATTTCTTTTAATCATCCAGCGCCTCCAAACCAATTGTCAGTAAATCCCTGAATAATAGTGTGAACATCCTTCTTAGACCTATCTCTAGGGCCATTCGCACATTTAAATTCTTCCAATGACCCTGGGTCTCGCTCCCTACTATTCTCAACTCTTCAGATTCGGAGAGTTTAGCATCGCTCCACCCACTTAAACCACCACTACTTCCAAAGTTGTGCCCGTTAACAAGCCACGATTTTAGGAAACTTACGGGCCACTACAGGAGCGCCCAAATTCATCCGACTAGAAAAGTTTCTGCTCCATTTTTTTCCGTGGCCGATAGCTGGGCCAAGTACTGGTGGTTTAACTCTCCAGATCGTGCGCCGAAATTCCCTTGGATAGTTGTCAGACTGCACTCGCAAAAACCTCTCTCCACAGTTGGAGAGTTCGCCGCTTGCAAAGGTCTTTACTTGAGAGTCCTCATAGCTCTCCGACGAGTGCCGGCATTTGGAGAGTGAGAGTCCTCGTAGCTCTCCGACGACTGCCGGCATTTGGAGATTGGGCCCGGAGTCTGGGCGGACGAACAGGGCTTTTCAGCTGTCGTTTTGTGTGCTCTCAACATTTTGGAGTCCTTTCTAGGAGAGTGCGTGGAGCGGTGACGGGTTTTTCACCTTGTTGGATAGTCTGACAGCTCTCCTCGGACCCTCCAAAGTTTAGAAAGTGGAGAGTAGTGGAGTAAGACCCCCATTGAAACCGCCAGTACCTTTCCCAGATATCGGCCGTGGGCCCTGCGCGCCGAGTTTAGGCAGCGCATCTGGCCGCCGCCGGAGGCCGAGTGCCGCCTCCGTGTTAACCGCCGCGATTTGGCAAAATGCCTGGGAAAGGTACTGGTGGTGGTTTAACACTCCTTTCTAAGCAGATTGCCGGCTGAATGTAGTCGACAACAGCTTCTTTTTTTTTTTTTTTTATGACAGTTTCATAGGTGTAGTTGATAATTCAATTCTATGGGCTTCGGGACCAGACACCAGTACATCTTCCGCACTTTTGTCGGCGCGTCTCTAAGTCCAGAATCTCCAGATGGTCCATAGTTTGGAACTTGTAGCAAGGGCAGAGTGCAAGCAGGGCAGGTCGCTAGTCCCCACATGCACATCTCTCTAGCGACTCCTTTTTTTTTTTTCGGAGGTTGGATTCTAGACATATGTCAGTCACCTTTCAGTAGTCAGCCATCTGGATTGTTTTCTGGCCCACCTTATGAGACCTCCTCCCTCCATTTCCTCGCGACCATTCTCCCCAGCGCACCCCCCAATCAGAAAGATTATCATGCTACGGAATTGTAGACATACCGGCGACTTCAAAGATTAGAGAGCAAAGTGGCTATGCCGGAGTGGTTAACGGGTCAGACTTGAAATCTGATGGGCTTTGCCCGCGCAGGTTCAAGCCCTGCTGGCCACGACATCTCAAATTCATACCAGGTCATTCATTCCCCCAACATTACAGTTAAAATTATTCCCACAATTTTTGGGGGGGAACCCGGAAAAGTGCTTAATGTGAGTGTGGACTGAGTGTGCTCTGAAGAGCTAAAAAACCCATCCATCCATAAAATGGACTAAACTAGTTCTCCACTGAAAGAAAAAAGAAAAAAAAACTGAAATAAAATTGAGTCATAGCAATTTCACACTATGATAGCATGGGTTGGTTGTCTCACTAGGGGAAGGTTCCAGGTGTGAAAATGAGAAAAGTGGGACTTGGGGCAGTGGAACTTTTTTGGATGTACGCGTTGTCTTTCAGTTTCCCTTGTTTTTTACTTTTTTTTTCTGATTTTTTTTCTTGTCTTTTCCGCTTTCAAGTTTTTTTTTTTTTTCTACTTTTTTACTTTTCCTTTTTTTCTTTTTTTTTCTTTTTTTTTTTAAGTTTCTTAATACTTTCCTGAAGTGTTTTGTAGTAGTAGCAATCACATGCATCAAACAACGTAGAAGAAGTTAGCCAGAGCAATTGAAATCTATAAAATCGAAGTAAATGGAAGTATATTCACGAAGGAAAGGCGTCCCCAGCTTTGGCCGAAGTGCCGGAGCTGCTTGCCAAGCTTTGGTCGAAGTGCCAGAGGGGGATTTCTTTGTTTAAACCACCAGTACTTGGCCCAGCTATCGGGCGCGGGCGGTTCCCGTTAGCGCGCCGGTAGTTGCGGGCTTCGGGGCACCGAGCCGCAATGGCTGGAAGCAACCGCCAAAATCAAAACGGAACGGTGCCCCGACAGCTCGGCAAAACTTGGCGCACAGGGAGTATCCCGGCTCGGCATCAATAGGTGGGCCAAGTACTGGTGGTTTAAAGTTGGCTGGTGCCACCAGCCTCTTCCGCCGGCCTCCAAAGACTGCGGTATAGGTTATAGTTACGACTTCGCCTTCCGGCCTGGAAGGTAGTGGTGGTACGTATCAAAACCTCATCTGTGAGAAATGAGAGAGGGCAAAGTCACACTGGTACTTCATTCGTTCTGTAGGCAAAGAAAGAAAGGGAAAGCACAGAGGAAAAAACACAGACAGTTCATGGTGGGTCCTTTTTGGGCATGCTCACCCAGAGTGGTCTCAGCAAGAGGCAAAGCGACAAAAGAAAGGCAGACTCGCACTAGGACTTCCTGGACGTATGTAGCTGCAATTACAGCCCAGACCTTGCTGAATGTGACCGCAATTCCAGCCAGAGCTGAGTAGAAAAACTCCTAGTGTGAGTATGCCCTTATCATCACACAGCACACTCAAACCCGCTCGGCCTTACTGAACCAGCAAATACAAATGTGGCAATGGAAACAGACCGAAAAAAAAAAAAAAAAAAAAAAACTAAAAAAAAGTAGAAAAAAAATGAAAAAAAACTGGACGAAACTGGA